GGTCACCCCCTTGGGAGGCCACGCCCCCATGCCCCCACCCACCCTAAGCCCCACCCCTTGGTGTCCCACCCCCAGGAGATCTACAAGGACCGGCAGAAGTTCTCAGAACAGGTTTTCAAAGTGGCCTCATCCGACCTCGTCAACATGGGGATCAGCGTGGTCAGCTACACCCTGAAGGACATCCACGATGACCAGGTGGCACCGGGGGGACGACACAAGGGGGAACACAAGGGGACATGGTGGGATCAAGGGTGTCAACAGGGTTAGGTATCCCCTAAATGACATCCATGACAACCAGGTGGCACCAGGCAGGACACAGTGGGGATGTGGGTATCAGTGTGGTCACCTACATCCTGAAGGATGTCTACAATGGTCAAGTGGCACCAGGGACATGGTGGGCACAACATAGGCATTGGTGGGGTCAGTGGGGCTGGGGACATGGAGGTACAGGGAGCTGTGGGGATGGGGACAGTGACCTAGAGATGGAGACAGTGACCCAGGGATGGGGGTCACAGAAAAAGGGACGTGGGGACAGAGAGATGGAAACAGTGGGACAGGGACAGAGAAATGGTGTTGTGGGAACAGGGATATGGGGGTGGGGACATCAGGTGAAGGATGGGGACACTGGAATGGGGACAGGGACACTGTTCCTGGGTAGGAATAGGGTCACCAGGGTGGGTGCAGGGACTGGGGACATCCAGACAGACATGGGGACACCATACAGGAATGGGGCTGTCTCCAGTGTCTGCAGGGCCACCAGCGCTTGCTGGGGCATAGATGGCCAGGGTTGGGGACAGACAAGGATTGTGACAGTGTCCTCATGTCCCCTTGTCCCCAGGACTACCTGCACTCGCTGGGGAAGGGCCGCACAGCACAGGTCCAGCGCGATGCCCGTGTGGGGGAGGCCGAGGCCAAGCGGGACGCCGGCATCCGCGTGAGTCTGTCACCTCTATCACCCTCAAGTCCCCCTGGGCCCCCTCCCTGTGTCCTGTATGTGCCCACGTCCCCCCCCATTTCCTCACTGAGGTCTGTAGATCCCCCCTCAATGTGCCAGTGTCGTCTCCCCCCCCGCACCCCTGATGTCACCAGATTGTTCCTAAATGTCTCCATGTCCCCCTTCAATGTCCCTGGGCTCCCCGGTCTCCTCCTGGCCCCCCCCCAACGCCCTGTGTCCTAATGGGCCCCCTCTCAATGTCCCCATGCCTATGGTTTCCCAGTATCTCCCCTGTCCCCTGGTGTCCCCATGTCCCCCAATGTCCCCCCACCTCTCTAGTCCCATGGTGTGACCATGTCCCAGCCCCCAGCATCCCCTGCTGTCCCTGCAGTGTCCCCATGCCCACCAATCTCCTACTGTCCCCACATCCTTCTGTATTCCTCCTTGTCCCTGTGTGCCCCAGCGTCTCCCATGTCCCCATGTCCCCACAGGAGGCGCGGGCACGCCAGGAGCAGGTCTCTGCGCAGCTGCTGAGTGAGACAGCGATGGCGCAGGCCCAGCGCGACTTCCAGGTGCAGCAGGCGCTCTGCGATGCCGCTGTCAATGCCCGCAAGGCCCAGGCCGACCTGGCCTACCAGTTGCAGGTACGTCGGAACACCTGGGTGTCTCCCCAGGTGCCTGGGTGTCCCCTGTCCCGACATGCCTGGGTCTCCTCCGTGGGATGTTTGGGACCCCCACACGCCTGGGTCCCTCCTTGACATGGTCTTGGACACTTGAGTCCCCTCTCCAGGATACCTGGGTCCCCCCTGTGCAGCCCCACAGTGCCTGAGTCCCTCCCCCGGATGCCTGGGTCCTCCCTAAACACCTGTATCCCACAGATCCCGGGGTCCCCCCCTAAACACTTGGGTTCCCCCTTAAGACCTAGGTCTCCTGGGATGCTTAGGTGTCCGCCCCAGGGGCCTGGGTCCCCCCCATGACACTCAGATCCCCTGGACACCTGGGTCTCCGCAGCACCTTGGTGTGTCCACCCCGAAACACCTGGGTCCCCCTAACACCTGGGTCCCTTGGGGTGCTTGAATTCTCCCAACTGCCTGGGTCCCCCCGCACTCTTTCCACCTGCCTGGGTGCCGTCACGGGGCTGAGGGGTGCCGCGGGCGCAGGTGGCGAGGACGAAGCAGCAGATCGAGGAGCAGCGGGCGCAGGTGCTGGTGGTGGAGCGGGCGCAGCAGGCGCAGCTGCAGGAGCACGAGATCGGCCGCCGTGAGCGCGAGCTGGAGGCCACTGTCCGCAAACCCGCCGAGGCCGAGCGCTACCGCCTCGAGCGCCTGGCCGAGGCCCAGCGGTGAGCCCCGCCCCCAGCCGGTGGGTCCCACTACCTTGGGTGAAGCCATGCCCCTTTAAAGAGGAGCCCCGCCCCAGTCTTCCAAGCCACACCCTCATCTTGGTGCGTCCCCCCACCGTGGGTGAAGCCATTTCCCCTTTAAGGGAAGCTATGCCCCTTTAAAGGGACACTGGGCCCCATCACTCTGAAGTCATGCTTTTTTTTAAGGGAGGTGGTGCCCCTTTTGAAGGGAGCCCCGCCCCCTTCCAGTAAGCCACACCCCCATTTTGGTGGGCCCTACCCCATGGAAGTCATGGCCGATTTAAGAGAAGACTGCCCCTTTAAAAGAGAGCCCTGCCCCCTTGTAGGCCACACCCCTATGAAGCAGGCTTCTCTGGTGGCTATGCCCCTTTTAAGAGAAGCCATGTATCTTTGAAGGGAGGCCACGCCCCCTCTAGGAGAACCACGCCCCCTTCCACCAGGCCACAGCCCCCTGACCAAACCCCCGGGGTATCACCTGGGCCACACCCTCAATGGGAGGCCACACCCCTCTAAGCCCCACCTTATGGGAAGACCCCCTGCCCCTCCCACCTCGAAGCTCCACCCCTTTTTTCAAGCCCCACCCCTCCACAGGTCGCAGATGATGATGCAGGCAGAGGCTGAGGCTGAAGCCATGAAGGTGAGTCTGGGGGGGGAACCAGGTCTCTGGGTGGGGCTGGGGTGGGGTGTCACAGGGGACCCAGACATCTGGGTGGGGCCAGGGCGGGGTGTGACAGGGGAGCCAGGTGT